AGGTCCTGCGTGGTGACGTGCGAATCGAGGTACTCCTCGTACGTGCCAAACGCCGTGACGACGTGGTCCAGCGCGGCCTCCGCGTCATCCCCCTCCATCCCCGTGGCACTAGCCCGGCCTGCCCGGCGCTTCTAGCAACTGCCCGGCGTCCCTAACAACCGCTTGGCGCCCCGAGGCCACGCCCGCCCGGCCGCAAGCCCCGCCCCTCTCCTACTGACCCGCGCTATTGGACGTGTGGCTGAGTGCAAGCGCTGATAGGCTGGACGCCGCCCGCACCCACCAACCGCTGAGTACTATGCGCCAGAGGCCACGCCCACCCGGTCACAAGCCCCACCCCGTCCTACCTGTCCCGCGCTGGAGATGGGAGTAGATGCCCTGCAGCTTAGACTCAAGGCAATCGCTAATAAGCTGGGCCCCGCGCGTACCTACCAATGGCCGAGCATTAGGCACCCCGAAGCCACGCCCTTCCTAGCACAAGCCCCGCCCCTCTCCTGCTCTGCGGCGGGGTAGTCACAAGAGCTACTGCGGGGTAGCCCGCGGCGGGCTTGGCAGCTACTTGTACTCACCTACCGAGGCTGTAGATCAGTCCCCGCTTTGTATAGTCGGATGTCTCCTCACCCTTTCATCTCCCTGCCGCGGGTTGTCTTCCCGCGGGACAACGGGTAGCATTAAGCTAGGGAAAAGCCTGGGAGTGAACCAGCTGTTGTAGGGGCAGGTTACTCCGGGACGAAGTATTTGATCCTGGGATGCTGCAGGCCTCCATGCTCATCCTTCCATTTTAAACACCTGCGAAATATCTGCCCTTACACTTGACCCCAGGATCAATCGAGGCTTATTCAAGGCTATTGCTACTCAAGCTGCCTGTGTGAATGACTGTCCAGCCCTGTTTTGATGGGAGTCCAGATGTCAGTAAAGCCCCATGTGATAGCACAGGAAAACTTCCAACCTGGAAGCAATCAACTTAAGTGGAATCAGCTAATTATTTACATCTTTTTTTAAAAAAAGGGCAAAGACTAGCCCAGAGGCACAGGCTATGCAAGGGATAGGGAGGGAAGTTACACAGTCCATTAAGAATACATGTTATTTACAATTTGATTGTGGAAAAAGGAGTAGTATAGGCTTTCCAGAGATCACCTGGATTTTTTCGAGGTCTGTACTGTTCTGGGAACAAACAGTTTTTACTGCTACTCATCAAATTGCAATAAAAGTGACCACAGCACAGAAAACCCCAGAAGAGTGTAAATCTTGTTACTTTTTATTTTGCAAAAATCTAGTTAGTCTAATGAAAGATATCAACTCTACCACAAGTTCTGATTCCCTTTGCTTCTAAACCAGGGATTCTCAAACTTTGCAATACCGCAACTCCTGGCGGGCAATCAACGAGTGGAGGTCTCCCATGCAGTGGCGAAAGCGGAAGTGCCGGCAGCATGCAATGGCAAAGGCAGAAGCACCGGTGGCACATGGCACACGGGTTTTGGACCCCCTTTTAAGATGCTCAGGGGTTGCAGCCCACAGTTTGAAAACCTCTGTTCTAGACCAATACAGCTATAACCTGGATACCTAAACCTGGTTACATGGTAATTTTGGGTAGCTCCTGGAGCTTTTAACACAGGATTGTCTGCACAGTAACACCAGCAGCTGGTTTTAAGCACTCATTATGCAGCTCAAAGTTATGCCAC